GAAGGGTTGAAAAACATAGGGGTGTCAGTTAGTTACCAATTTTATTTAAAATACTGACCGCTGTCCTGCTCCTCAGACTGTCCAAAACACGTGGGGAGTTGATTCGCGAAGAGAAGTCTAGGTTTTATTCAGGCCTTGGGTGCACTGACCATGTGTTCACCCTTCGTCAGTTGTTGGAACACCACCACTCGTATAGCAGGCCAACAGTTTTTGTGTTTCTTGATATTACGGCTGCCTTCGATTCGATGGATAGAACTGTTCTCTGGAACTGTCTGTTAGAGAGAGGTGTACATGAGAAGTGTGTTAATGTCCTAAAAGCCCCATACAGAAATACCTCAAGTAGAGTGAGGGAATACAACCAACCATCATCACTGTTCCCGACCAACACAGGTTATACAGGGTTGCCCGATCTCTCCATTTCTCTCCAACTTCGGCATCTATGACATTTTGGAGTCAGCTCTGAAGGACGTCCGTGGTGGCGGTGAAGACGTACTTTATGGAGAAAGAATTTACAACCTCGAATATGCAGACGATATTGTCTTATTGTACGATAGCATGCAGGCTGCCTAAATTTTACTTAGTCAGTTGGCAATCAGTGTCTGTAAGTATGGTATGTGCTTTGCGCCATCTAAGTGCAAGGTACTGTCATATGACAGGCAGGAGCCTGCACCTGCCCTCACATTTGCAGGTGAACCACTTGAAGTTGTGGATAAGTTTGTGTATCTGGGTAGTTGTGTTTGAATGCCGGCAGAGTTGTGATGGACGAGATTTCTAACCATATCATGAAAGCTACGGTGGCATACGTCAAATTGAACCACCTCTAGAGCCATCGCGACGTCAGCCTGTCTGTCAAAGGTCGCGTGTACAATGCTTTGGTGCGGACTGTCTTGCTCTACGCCTGCGAAACCTGGCCACTCCGAGCAGAGGACGTGCTGCGACTCTGCACATTCGATCACTGCTGTCTCCATAGAATTACTTGCATTCTATGGTATCACCGTGTGAGTAATTCTGAGGTCCAGCGGCACATGTGTGGACACTGTGGAGATCACCACTCATTGAATGTCATCATTTGGAATCACCGGCTTCGATAACCTGGACATGTCTACAAATGTCGTTCCAGAGACTTCCTTACCGGTCTCTGTTCGCTAGCCCTGCGACGAGATAGATAAAGTCGTGAGGTGGTCAGCCCACGATGCCACTTCGTGGGGTGAAGGGTTTAATTGTGGTAGGTTAGCATCGGTTGGTGCGTCACCACTCCCTGGCTGGGTTTCAAGAAATAGCTCGAATCGGTGGTTCGAAAAGTTATCGGATATGGCCAAGAATGTCAGTCGATGGCGAAAGTGTTGCAGTTTACTTCTTTTTTCCCTTTCTGAGAATAATCCGATCATTGCTGTTTGGTTTTGTTAAATATGACCAATTTCTTCCCAGATGAAGTCCTTTATTCATTATCTAACTTTCTTTTCCATATGTTGTTTTATTATTATTATTATTATTGTGTGGCGCGTCTTCTTGGTGCCTTTTTGTATCAGGCTTTGTGTCTGAATTAAAATCATTGCCTCACTGTTTAGATACTGAACATAAAGTTAATGTTAACAAGACACTTAAAGTTATCTTCCGTATTCTGATTAATCTTAAATTAGCTTTACGAATGTCTTCTCTCGATATAGTTGAAGAAATCAGAATGCGTTTGAAAAAGTCAAACTCATGATGTATCCAGGAGAAATTCATACGGACATTTTCTTTACCTTGGTGTTCATTAATTGATTGTAAGTATCTGACAATTTCCGCCTTATAAGAAAAAGACGAAAACAGCGAAGAAAATTTCCTTTTCGACCACTCGTTTTCATACGCTGTAGAATCGTAATTATTTCATATATTTGTTTCCGTTGATAAATTTTGTTAGACAAAGAAAGACCAGATTTGCAGAATGAAATGATGCCATCATTCTATTTCACAGGTTCACATCAGCTGCAAACGACCTGAAATTACAATGGTTATAAATAATAACATTTCATACTTCAATGTTTGAAAGGTAATAGAGAAAACATTATAAGATGAACGCATCCGGAATATAAGCACTACAATTTTTAGTTCAAGTTACCATCAATTTATATACTATCTAACTATGAAGAAAAAGAGAGGGGTGAGAGAAGACAGAAAACAGAAAAATCTAATGAACAGTGTTAGTTTGTACGTCAACATGGCAACTCAATTGAAAGCTTGCTCACTGATTTGAGCTCACTAATGTGTATGACTAATCAGTGTAATCAAAGTAATACGGTTATGCTGATTGGTGATACACACTAGTGAGCTCAGCTCACTAAGCAAGTTTCCAATTTGACGAAATTTAACCTTCTTGAGTTGCCATGCTGACGTACAAGTTAACACCGTTTATTGGATTTTTCTGTCTTCTCTCACCCCTCTTCTTTTCTTCATAGTTTGATAGCATATAAATTGATGGTAACTTAAACTAAAAATAATTGTAATACTTATATTCCGGATGCGTTCATCTTATAATGTTTTCTCTATTACCTTTCAAACATTGAAGTATGAAATGTTATTATTTACAACCATTGTAATTTCAGGTAGTTTGCAACTGATGAGAACCTGTGAAATAGAATGATGGCATCATTTTATACTGCAAATCTGGTCTTCCTTTTTCTATGGAAATCGTAATTATATTTGACAAGGAATAATACCAATCGGGTGCTAGTAAAATATGTCCTCGAAAACGTACTGCGCGATATAAGGAGTCATCTAGGAGGGATGACTAATTGAATGTTGGAAAACAGGCAGAAGTTGACATGACGTAATAAGTGTGAGAAAATGACTAATGAATATAGATGTGTAGAATGGACAAAAACTAGTGGAAAGACGATAAAGTGTTTTTATAAAATCTGTATGAAAATGCAATCTTACTAATAAACAGTAATAGAATGATAATAAAATAAGGATGATGAGAATATAATAATAATAAACTTACATAATAAAATGAAGCAGAATTATAGTGAGAACTTCACTCTGGCCACGATCAGGCGACTGAATGTATGCGGTGCTTTTTAATGCAGAGGTCCGTTTTCAAATCTCTAGTGGCTAATGATTCAGCTATGTACAGATGGTGTATTCAAAGACCTTTCATACGATATTGAGGCACTCTGTCTGGCACTGTGAATTCTTCATGCAGGGGTGTTCGATATCCAGAGTTGACGAGGTGTTTGAGGATGAAACTATTAGTATTCTTCTTTTCTACTCTGGCTAAACACGCTGGACAATGTTCCAGAATACTTTTGTGGACTTGACGTTGCATACGGCCGATATACTTTGCTCCACACGAACAAGTAAACAGATGAGAACACATTGAGGTGGCCAAAAGTGGTACCTTACCCTAAACGTTAGTCCGGATTAACTGCCTGTTGGAGAATGTGATGCGTAAGGTGGCTGCTTGAAATGTCTTCATCAGACTTTTAGAAAGGCGGTTTCTAAGAATTTCTGCTTCGATGTCACCGGGTTCACGAAGAGAGTTTTCTCGGGAACAGCTGTGATTTAGTCGATAAATCTTGGTGGATACCCATTTTTTCCCCTTTCCTTTAAGTTTTATACAAGTTATTATTGTTTTAACTATCTTCATTTATCACACAGAATCTCCTCTTAATTCTATCTAATTTTTAAATGAGTATTATATATATATATATATATATGCATATCACCACTGACACATGCTTTTTAGTTGTAATCTATTGTTCTCAACGCCTCGATTATTATCATTCTTTTTATATATTCTATAGATAACTGTGCAGCCAGATGAGGTAGTTGTGGAAAACAACATTCTTTTCCCAATATTTTAGTCTTCTGAATATCTAGATGGGAATTTTCGCAATATTGAATTTCAAGGATTGATATCATTCAAAGAATCACCAGTCAGATCAAACAACTTCACCACTGTAATTCCTACCCAATGATCATTGGTCATTCATACCTTAATAACTGTGTTGAGTAATTCCACATTCTATTTTTATCATCCTATTGTTCAGCCAGTGCAGTGCAGTTCAATTTTTTCTCATCTTCATATCGACTAAATTTACCATAAACGACCTTGTACAGCCAAGTGTGGGTAGATTTTGGACTTCATCTCGAAATGCTCAGCTGTAGCCACGCGTTAATGGCCTCCGTTAGGTGGTAAGTCCTTTACACTACCTTAACGTGGAGTAGATGTTCCTCACGAAAGTGAGAGAGTGAATACGAACGTCTGGCGCTTACGTTCGGATTTTAGAACATACCGATCTACCCAGTGGAGATGGAAAACTCAGATTCCAGAATCCGAATGGATCAAATGGCATATTGAGATGGCTAGGTCACCTGCTGCGCATGCCTAACCATCACCTTCCCCGACGGGCATTACTAGCTGATATAGGTGCAGGTTGGAAAAGAGTAAGCGGTGGCCAAACAAAAACATGGCATCAATCCATGATATCCTTGACAGTTAAACCGAGTCAGGTAGGGAGATGCAGACTTCCGGGTTGGGGCCCTCGGGACTCTAAGAATCAATGGCTGGAGACAGACAATAGGTGACATGGCTCAAAATCGTTGTCAATGGCGCAGATGTATTCAGTCTCTGTAATCTTTCATATTCCTTTCTACGATTACTCATTCTGTTTCACTCTTATACTTGTCAAAACTCCATTGATTCTTTTCACTCATTTTCTTGTCTACCTCGAACTGCTGCATTTCGGTACCAAGTTCTGTGTTGAATCCAGAGAGACAGACAGAATGGCATATTAAATTTTTTTCGGCCACAGGAAATCATGAGGACATAGCTCCTGATAATGCTCCACTGCTCTGTAGTTCAAATTTAGAGTCAAATACTCGGGATTGAGGGAGAGTGATGGCCTCTTAAGACAACTACATGCTTCGGTGTGGACGTCTGGACAGTATACCAGCCCTCGCACTATCAAACTATCAAACAGTCAAGAGGGAAGCCCATAAAATCACTAACAAGAAAGTACAACTGCTGATTATATATTTGTTACAAAACACACAGTGAACATTTACATTGATATTAATTTAAACACAAGTACTGTCTTCATTAAAACAAACAGAAGGATATTTCAATATTAAATGAATAAGACATCAAGGCTTTAATGTCCTGAAAATGAATCTCAGCAACACAACAGAAATTCACAGAAAAGAAGTTACTTATCTAATGTATATATATGCATTTGACACGAAAGTTGGTCGTGATATGATATGTGTGCATTTCCTTTCGACACCTGTGCATATTACTGCAGACAGTAAAATAGCGTGATGGATGTTTACTATCTGAAACATAATAAAAAGCAAATACTGTGATAAATGGTTTATTGGTTGGATGATAGAATTCTCGCTGACTAGTCGCATGGTCCGGGCTCAATTCCTAGCTGATACACTCTCCTAGACCTCGCCTAGTTTGCCAGCTGATATTAAGTCTGGAAAGAAGAAGGGTTGAGCCTCACGCTCACAACCTCGTTATATAATCAAGAAACACCACCGCTACTGAAATTCCAAAGCCTGAAGCTTGAGACTCTATATTCTATTCAGAACACAGTCATTGGAAAAAAAACCAATCACTGAGAAGTAAATCCTTATCAAAGCAAGAAAAACAAGTTTCGCAGAATAGAATGTACACACTTCCTCTCCCAGTATTCATTTTACGTTTCAAGCTGAACACAGGGCTTCAAGATAGAGATTGGAAGTTTCTGTAGCACTGGTATTAATTTAATGGGGTAAGGTTAATAGCCTCACCCCCAACTATCCCTCTTTACCAACCGATCTTACTACCGGCTTGATGACGTTTAGGCGTGCGTCGGCTGGGGGTCGAACCCCGAACTATCTGCATGGTTGGCGAGTATTCCACCGTTGAACCACTGTTGCATACAATGTACGGAGTATTAGAGAAAGGAGAATATACACTTCATTCTCCTGAACAGAAGTCAGGCATGAAGATCCTAGTTTAAGGAAACAACGAAAAATGGAATATGATGATGCCATCAGTTAAAATTGACACGAAGAGAAACTGGTAATTTTTCATAAATCTGGAAAAAGATTCGAGAAGTTTTTATTCACTGGCAACACCCAAGAAAGGAGGGGAAGAATTACGTAATAATATACAAGAAAATACTTGGAAGCGATTTGAGATTAATCATGGTTTCTTTCTACAGACACAGGTTGAGTTTCAGTGACCTGATGGCAATATTTTGCATTTATTTCATAATTATGCATTCTGTCTTTTATTTTGTTCTGCCATCTTCATTAATATTAGTGCTATGATTTTTTGGAATTATCGACCTTTACTCACTTAATTGACTTCAAGTCACTTCTAAATGCTCTCTTGTATATTATCACGTAATCTTTTTCTTTCCTGCATTAGTTTTTTGATTACAGCTTGATTCCACACCTTATTTTTGGTACAGGTATGGAATTTTCAGCATGTGATATCAGTAGCCCAAATTTTGCAGGCCGACCATAGATATCAGGTGTGTGTCGGCAGGGGGTCGAACCCCTGATCGTGTGCATGGTCGGCGAGATTCCCAACCACTGTGCCACCGACACACATGCATGTTTCTGGTTAATCAGTGTTTTCAAACAACACATGTAAACGCGAACGATATTGTGTTTTCAATTAGATCTCATCAGACTTTTTTCTTATATACATAACTCCACAAATGAAAGTCAAATCTATACCACTCATGGTGATTGTCGCTGAGGAGGCCGTTGGATGACATCGCGCGACAGGCCAGTGCTCGAGTGGAACCCGAAAGGGAAGCGGCGAGTGGGAAGTCCAAGTGTGACATGGAGGAGATCGTGTGAAGAAGAGTTGAAACAGTATGGACTAACATGGATACAAGTGAAAGGTACAGCAAAAGATAGAAGTAAGTGGAGATGTGCAGCTGAAGCCCTATGTTCCACTAGGAACCCAAAGGAACAATAATAATAATATGGTGATTTGTCAATAGGATGGAAAGATTGCGCAATAAGTCATAGTAATAATAATAGTAATAATGAATCTACTAATGACAAAGACGAAAAAATGGAGTGATTTGTAATAACAAGAATATTTGAAAATAAACAGCATGACTAAACAAACGAATGTTCAGATAGATGTGACCAACACAAAGGCTGAGAAAAACAAATGGCCGGATTAAGTAATGCTAGATTGTAATGGAGATAAATAAGCTGTTTTAATGAAGATATAATAGGATTAAGGGATGATAAGAGTGGGATTCAAGTATTGTTTTGTAGGGATTTGGCTGATTGGTTACAGGATTTCATCATGAGCTGACATTAGTTAGAGAACCATTGGAAAATATGGAAGTACTGGACAGCTATTTCCTCCTAGTTCGAGACTCTTCATCAGTACTCATCCACCGGGGTTCAAACCGAGGACCTTCTGCTTACAAGGTGAGCTCGCATACCATTAAGCCACTGGGACCCGATCCAATGGCCCATGAATTCTAACTTCTGCCAATTCACGACATAGCGCGACCCCTAGCCAGTGTCTTCGGCGAGTATTTGTTCTCACACCCGACCTGCTGCACCCTACTGGTCACGACTTCTCACTAGAACCCCAGGTAACTACCTACCTGAATAGGGCCAATCGCTAGTGAGCACCTCATTGATATTCAAGTATTGGTTTGAATATATCGTGAATTGGCAGAAGTTAGAATTCATGGGCTGGCCACTGGATCGGGTCCCAGTGACTTAGTGGTATGCGAGCTCGCCTTGTAACCAGAAGGTCCTGGGTTCGAATCCCGGTGGGTGCGTACTGCTGAAGAGTCTCGACCTAGGAGGAAATAGCTGTCCAGTACTTCCAGATTTTCCAATGGTTCTCTAACCAATGTCAGCTCATGATGAAATCCTGTAAGAGTGGGATTGTCGGTTGGTTAAGACTTAATAGGTCATGAGAGGGATAATGGCTATACGAACTTCTTTTGGAATGCATAGTTCAGGCTTGAAAGTTCGAATGTCAGTTAAGTTAGGTATATTCAACAGAATTATTACTATTATTATGATTGTTTGCACAATATTGTCAGCCTATTGACAAATTACCAAGATTAGTTATATTTGATATTTATTTGTAGTTACTTAGATGTAAGAGTAAGACCTGGTGCGATCTAACTGAAAATAATATTGTTATTTAGAATCTTACTGTATACTGCATATATACGTATATTTTAACAAAAGTAGACTAATTTTGAAAGTCTGAGGTCAAATTTTGATCACAGTTCATATAAAAAATTTTTGTTTTGTTTATTACACCTAGTGATAGCTGTTTCTTGATTCACATGACAGGACAAACAATTTAAAACAAGAGTTGTTCCTTTTATATATAAACCTCTGTTATGTTAATTTCGATTAATTTCCCTGAAGAAGTTCGAACCAGATTGCCAAACGAAACGTTGGAATTAATCATTTCAATTTCGCTGAAATTTTACAAATATAAACGAATAAACGAAAATATAATTTTATAAGTGTCTACTTCTCACTCAGCGATCAATTATTTTGCAACTATCTGGTCAAATCTCGATCACAGTTCATTTGAATTACTGTAAGAATATTTAATATTTTGAATAAATGTCTTTTGTTAATCCTATCACCACAATCTCTTGAATCTTCTTCCAAACTTATGATAAATAACTATGAGATCCATCAGCTGTCGCTTGCGCTATATGTATCGTGAATTTGCAGAAGTTGGAATGCATGGGCCAATGAATAAGGTCCAAGTGACCGAATAGTCTAAGAGCTCGCCTGGTAACTTGAAGATCCTGGAGTTCAAACCCCAGTGGCTGCACAGTGTTGAAGGGTCTTATACTGGGGCGAAACAGTTGTCCAGTATTCCCTGACTTTCTAGTGGTTCTCTAACTGATTAAATCTGAAATAATCACTTTCTTTTCGTGTCAGTTGTAACTGATGATGTCATCAGGTTTCAGTGGTGGTTGTTTCCTTAAACACTATGACCTTCATGATTAACTTCACCTTAATCGAACATAGAGCTTCAAGCTACAACGTTATGTTATGAGTAGTCATTAAGAAGTTTTTAAGAATTACTTCTCACTGGTCAAATTGGCTTATATTCCTTTTCTGATATCCAACACTCATTAGTGATTGACTACAGGAGTTCTAAGGATAGGTCTATAACGACAGAAGGCAAGAGTCAGGCAACAGATCATTTATTAAGGTAATCAACGCATATTTATACATTTTCATGTACATTACTATGGATATTTAAGCAAACAAACACAGTCTTCCGATTGGTTGTTTCTCACGTAAAGTTAATCTTTCATCTATTTGTGACTGTTTCTTGAACGTCAAATCCTCTATATGTTAACTGCATCCGCCTACGCAAAGTATGCTGTGGTCGGTTTTAATCAATCTTTGTTCACATTTTCTCACGACAAATCTTGGGAACGTAAATATTGACGTAAATTACTGTCTACCAATTTGGCTAGTAGACAGCTCTCACCACAGGTCGAAACAAGTTTGGTAACAGTATTGATTGGTAATGGTATTATATATCGCACATTAACAAAACATTTACAATTCAAGCGTCTTTGAATTCCACCCCAGTGGCTGAACAGCCAGCATGTTCGTACAGTGAATCTCGTAAGTTTGATCCCCAGTAAGCGTCAAGCGTATGCACCACCAAAGAGTCAGTCTCAAGTCAGGGCAAAAGAGCTGTTCAATTTTTATTGGTTCTCAATGGCTCTCAAACTGTTATTAATTCGAAATCAAATATTAGCTTGTAGTCAATCAAACAACGTCTACAACACTAACACCTTGAAAACTGTCTAATATCTATCAAAGGTTAAAATTATTGAATGTATGATCAGTCAACGAACTGCTGTTGTTATTTTACCTCAAATCCTTCATTTGAAATCAAATAATATCAATAAAATGATAAGTAATGTCCTCCTAAAGAAAGCAAATTATTTGAAAATATCAGAATACCGGTTAAAATCTAAATGACCCGCATTATTTATCAACTGAAAAGTACTATTGTAAGAATTTTTAGAATAAATTTTCGTGTGATCAAACAAATTCGGTGACAAGGTTGGTTTTTTTTATTGAATCTGGTCTGTTTTTAATCAATAGAAAAACAACAGGAAACATTGACGTTTATAGATGAGGTTAAAGAATCATTTAAAAAGTTATACTACCAAGAATATCGTATCATTAAGGATAGATAGTTATAGGCTGCTTAGATAAAGATTAGAAACGGTACAATTCGCGGGATTAGATATGGCTGTTAATTTTTGCACCTTTTGATACACTATTCCTA